TTTTGTTAATATTCCATTTTGCATTGTTTTTCTAGAATGTCTTGTTATTTGTGGACAATTGTCTGAAAACACTAAGAAATTATTTTAAAATTGTAGATATCAGTATGATACAAAGTTTTCCACTAGGCACTAGTTTATATACATTTTGCAAAAGAAATTATTGAAAAGAAGCCAAAATCAAAGAGAGTTTGAATCAACCAAACTTTTCAGATATTCGGGAACTCAGTGGTTCATGTTCTTGTAACTTCATATACTTGCTAACCATAGGCTTTGTTTTGCATGGAAATTATTGCATAAATCCCTCCTAGTAGAATTTAGAGAAAGTTGCCACTCCACTCTTTTCTACAAGAATGTTTTGAAAGAAAGCTAATTAACACTACCTTTCAAAAATGACCAAGACACAGGAATATCACAGCATCATCATTGATGACAACCACATCCCAATGTGCTTTGAATATTAAACTTGTCTTTGATTTGGGGAGAACCTTTCCCACAATTCTTTGTGAAATTATCTGTGAGCAGTGGTGTGTATTTGCTTTCAATACAGCCATAGCTCCTGGACCTTTGTACTACAAAGATGAGCAAATAGCAAAACATAGACAGACAGAATAAGAGGAAAAATATAGAGGAATAGACATATGCAACAACTAATTCAACTGCAATGTCTGCATTAAATAAATCAATTACTATCACTTTCATTTCATAAAAAGAATGAGTGTCAGTCCTACAAAAAATGACCAGTTAACACAGAAATGTAGGTAGGGAAAAATCTCTGATAGTGTTAAAGATCAAGTAGCCTGGTGGCTATCACGTATCTCTAAATTGCTCTCATTCTCAGATGATGTAAAGCGTCTGTTTCTCTTTGCCTGTTTTTGTTTAGTTTTATATTCTGTTTTCAAACAGACTAAACTAAATACAAGCTGATGAAAACAGTATTAGACAATAATACAGGAATAACACATAAAGCAATAGTCCCTTGTTACAAGTGAGCAAATGAATAATATTTGTGCATATCTGGAAAACAAGAATTTAACACAATTTGTTGTAAACTTTGTAAATTTAGTGGGCAAATGAATAAGAGCTTTTTAAATTCTTTCTTTTTTCTTTTTTAATATAGGTCTCTTTGTAACTCTATTCTAAATTAATAATGAAATAAAATTTTACCTCAAATTCAAAGATAGACCAATATCTTCCATGCATCCTGATATATCAACTTCGTAGTGAAACCAAGAATCACGCTAATGTGAAACATTTTGGTATTTGTCTAGTTAGCCTTGTACTTCAGTTGCAGTATGAAATATTAATGCTAAATCATGTTCTGAGTTGCCGTGACACTTGCTCCTTAAAGCTTCCTCTTCTACAGAGGATATAGACACATTCAAGAGGGAATAGAAATTGAAACAGTGCAATTTTTTCACTGATAAATATATTTTATGTATATTTAATTAGTCATCATTTGAGACATCTGAAATAATAATTATGCAATAATGTTTGGCTCATGTAAGAATGGATCCCTTGAGATCTCATAAAATATGATGCAATTTAAAGTATATTAAATATATTCATCTTCCCAGAATAAGAAAACACACTACAAAATGTAAGCTTAATGCAAAGGCCAGTTTGAGAAATTTATCTTTGAAATAAAATTTGACTTTACATTCTCATTTTGAAAGATGACTAGAAGTTAAACTTGGGAAAGAATATAATATGGAATTCTCTTATTGAGTAATTTTTACTATATTGGGGATATAAATAAAATAATACTAAATATTTTAAATTATGTACTTGAAACACTCATTAGAAGAACACCTCGTTTAGCTCCATATTATCAAACTTATAAAATCAACACATCGTTGAATAAAAATGAGGGGATGCAACAACTACTATTATGTGAATTTAGCATCTGATCGAGTGCTGGGTACTTAGTTGGTATTTACTAAATATATGTTTAATGGACAAATGAATACACAGACAAATAAGTCCTTGAGTCTCTCACTTGTCTGATATTATTTATCTGTGTATGTGCGTAACATTATGTAAATGACATGGATATAAAGTTGATTTTCAAAGTTTAAAGACTGTAAATGAGCATATACCATTTTAAAGTTGCAAAGTATAAAAGTAATTTATTGTTTATTATCAAAAACTTCAGGAATTTTCATTTCATGATAAATGCCATATGGTAGAAAGCTTTAGGTCTATGTTCAGCATGCTGTGCATTACACAATTCTGAATTTTGGTGGGGGGAAACTGGGTCTCAAGATAATCTTTACATCCTAAAAAGACAAATGAAACAAATTACTTCAGGAAAAAGAATTCCTGTCCTCTTGTCTAGGGCAAGATACACACACACACAGTCGTATGAATCCCAGGACATGTGGTTTAGTTTGCTAAAAGCTACAATTATTTACATTTTCTTATGAAATCCTTTACTAGTAACAGATTTTGAATGCAAAATAGTAGATTTTTTTAAAAATTATCATTTTATCTTGTGCAGTAGTTACCTTTGCAAAGCAGTTTTGTTACAAGAATGTACCTGTCATGACTTTACAGGGAACATTAAGGCATCTTGTTCAAAACAATGATTGTAGATTAAAATTTCCCTTTTGATGCATGACCTACTCATACATAGTAATTATATTAAACTTTAACTGGAAGAAACTGAACCAGTAAGATAAAGCTACCTTTTGCATAATATTTCCACATAGCATAGAAACTTACTGTAATATATGTCAACAGCAAATAATTTTACATTCTTTGATATTTTATTTCAAAATACTGCTATTTACTTCATGGTTTTATTGTAAGTGATTATGCCAAATACTTAAATAACAACTGAATCTATATCACAAATTACTATTATAATGGATTTTTAAATTCAACTTATAAAATATGATTACCAGCAGCAATCAAGTAAGCAGAGTACATCCATAGATAATTCTCGTGTCAATCTATACATTCTGTTGTTTTCAATTAGATCGAGGGTCAGCAAATTTTTTCTGTAATGAACCAGATGAGTTGCTAAATATTTTAGGTTTTGTAGACCAAAATAGAAAATTGAGGATAGTATGTGGGTACATATAATCACAAGAAAACTATTTTGCTCTTCTTATAGATGAAAGTCAATGCATAATAATGAGTAATATTAGAGAATTATTAGTAAGATTTCATTTAATTAGGGTTCAAGTTTAGTCTTCCTCATCATAAATTATTGCAAATGCTCATGTGTTAATTTAGATCTGAAGTGAGATTTTATAGAATCCATCTTTGAAGATGCTTTTAATATATATACTAGCAAATAGTATTATTTTAGTCCAGTAGCATATGATTTTAATTGCACATATTTATTTTTTAGAAGATATTTGTAGAATTCTGCTTTTTTATGGTATTTGTCTCTTATAATGTCATTGCATTTCAGAGTAATCATTTCCAATATAAGCTTGTGTGGCAGCTTCTCAATTGGAAAGTTAAATGAGTTCTGAAATATGGAAATTTCCCTTGTCCTTGCATTAAGATGAGAAAAATGCTGTCAAATCTGCAGCTTGATTTTGCAAAATATACATAGTCTTTCAGCACAGCATCAGTTTAAACACATCTTGATAAATTCTACTTCTGTTTGTTTTGAATTAATGTTTTCTCAACTTTTTTAAAAAATTATTCTTTCCTATAATTGTTCCAAGCAGACTGTTCTTAGAAGATGTTTCTCTAGTCACTTCATACTCAAATTGACACCTCAGGTAAGTGAGCATCACTAGTAACATTATTCAAATCATTTTAAAAACATTGGAAATGATTTGCTTGTACTTGAGTTGGCTATTGTTGCAGCCCTTAATTCAGTCATCTCAAACAAACTGTTCTTGTGGAAAGGATGATCATCTTTTTAAAGATAAGATTGTAAAATCCATACATAGCTCTCTGGCAGAAAAACAAAACAGCAAGTTAGAGCTAGTCTACTGGCACTAATTTGTTGACACTTATACTATATGCTTATGATTCTGAAAGACATACAATTTTGGCATAGGTGTGCTATCACTAAAATGACTTAATAAAAATATATATAAACATATACACACACATATACTGTATATATACCAAATGTATATGACAGTGTTATTTTTGTGTAATTTGTTCTCTTGTTTTGTTCTTTTTGTATTTGAGTTCCAGTAAACATGGATACACATGAATATATTGTAGGACCTCAAGACCCAGGCCCAGCATTAGATGACCAAACCCCTAGGCCTCAAAGCTGCAAGACACATCCTCACCCAACCCCCATGTCAAAACCCCTCCAGCAGCATGTAGCACCTCAGGTGTTGCACAATGTTACCACAAGATGTTCCATGTAGATAACCCTAACGGGCCCCCTATCACAAGATGTTCCTTTTAGACAGTCCTACTGGTTAAACTTGAGAACTAGGTTTAAAAACAGGAACTGAAAGGACAGAATGCAATTTTATGGTTTTTCTGAGAACAAAAAGTTGAAAAACAAGTTTACCCTCCTAGGTGACTCAACTGCTGAATTCAGAGGGACCAATAGAAAGGCTGTTGCTGTGCTAAGCTAAGACCTAACCCACCTGTTCCATATAAAAGATCTATACCCCAAAGCCCGGTGTGCCAGCTCATCGAAGCTCCGGCTGAGGTTTTGCTGTGCACCCGCAGGCGCCTGTGTGAGAATAAACGCCTCCTGCTTTTTGCAGCCAGTGTCTCGTGTGGTTCATTCCGGGTTTGGGATCTGTGGATATTTCATTGTGGAGGTTCCACCGAGATCCAAGATCCCGGTTCCGGTTCCGATCCCGGTCCCTATCCGGAGGACACCCGACATCACTGGGAGGTAAGCTGGCCAGCTCAAACTGACTGTCTTGTTGTCCTGTTGGTTATCTGTTCTTTGTTCCGCGCAGCGTCTGTAAGACTATATGATCCTAGGCATAGTCATTTAGTATTCTGAGTATTCTGAGGCAGTTCTGTCATTTAGTATTCTGAGGCAGCTTGAGAAGGAGTTGATGAACTCGGACTTCTCCCCTGCCACCCTGGGAGACGTCCCAGGGATCAGAAGGGTCCATTTCTTTGGGGCCCCCGGTGTTTCCGAGGGTTACACCATTTTTTTAGGCGACAAAGAAGTACAAACTTCTCCCAGGCCATCTGATTTGTTCGGTTTCCACCGAAGCCGCGCAGTGATCTCACTGTTTGGTTTTGTTTTTGTGTCATTGTGTCTGTCTCTCTATTTCCTCTCTGAAAGTAACATGGGACAATCACTAACAACCCCTTTGAGCCTAACTCTAGATCATTGGCAAGACGTTCAAGATCGGGCAGACAACCTGTCCGTGGCAGTCAAAAAGAAAAAATGGAAAACTCTCTGTACTTCAGAATGGCCAACATTCAACACCAGCTGGCCAGCAGAAGGGACTTTTAATACTGATCTTATTTTCCAGGTGAAAACCCGAATCTTCACCCATGGTCCTCATGGACACCCTGACCAGATACCCTACATTGTTACCTGGGAGGACTTAGCCTCCAACCCCCCCCCTTGGGTTGCTCCTTTCTCTCCACCCAAACCCCCTCTCCGTCCTCCCCTTGAACCCTCTGCTCCCCTCATTCCACTTCCCCCTCCCCAAACCTCTCATCTTTACCCTGTTCTTAACAAATCTGAGACCTCAGTTAAAACAGGGACAACACCAAAGAAGGTTCTACCGCCGGAGGACTCAACTCTAATTGACTTGCTGACTGATGAGCCTCCTCCCTATCAGCCCCAGCCCTTACAAGCCCCTGAACCTGATCAAGCATCCTCCGAGGACGAGAACCAAGAAGGCCCAGTCGCCAATGCTCCCCCGGATCCTTCTCCCATGGTGGGACGGCTCCGGGGACGCCGGGATCACACCGCCTCAGGAGACACCTCCAGAGTTCTCCCCCTGCGACAGACGGGAGGCCCCAATGGCCAATATCAGTATTGGCCTTTTTCTGCCTCTGACCTCTATAACTGGAAAACCCATAACCCTTCCTTTTCTAAAGACCCTACAGCTCTAACCTCTTTGATTGAGTCTATCCTAGTAACTCATCAGCCAACATGGGATGACTGCCAGCAGCTCCTGCAAATTCTCCTCACTTCAGAGGAGAAACAAAAAGTTCTTTTGGAAGCTCGCAAAAATGTGCCAGGGGACGATGGGCATCCCACCCAACTCCCAAATTTGATTAATGAAGCTTTTCCTTTAACCCGGCCAAACTGGGACCATGCGACTGAAGCAGGTAGGGACCACCTACGTCTCTATCGCCAGTTACTCATAGCGGGTCTCCATGCAGCAGGGCGACGACCCACTAATTTGGCTTAGGTAAGACAGACTACCCAAGGGGCAACAGAAACCCCGACAGCATTTCTAGAAAGATTGAAAGAGGCATATCGGAGGTTTACTCCTTTTGATCCTGATAGCGAGGACCAAAAAGGAAATGTATCTATGGCTTTCATTTGGCAGTCCGCCCCAGATATCAGGTCTAAATTGCAGAGATTAGATAACTTGCAAGATTTTTCTCTGGCAGACTTACTGAAGGAAGCCGAAAAGATATATAACAAAAGAGAAACTCCAGAAGAACGAGAGGACAGGATCAGAAAGATGCAGGAAGAACGAGAACTTAAGCTTAGAGAGGAATCAGACAAAAAAGAAAGGGAAAGAGAACAAAGGCGTAACAGGGAACTAAGTAAAATATTGGCCACCGTAGTTCAGGCAGGACATCAGGGAAACAAAGTAAACAGGGACAGGGAGCAAAGCAGACCCCGTGTAGACCGAGATCAATGTGCCTACTGCAAGGAAAAAGGACACTGGGTAAAAGACTGCCCAAAGAGACCCCCCAACCCCAGGAGAGATACCAACCGGGCTCCCCGACTGCTAACATTAGATGAGGATTAGAGGAGTCAGGGCCAGGAGCTCCCCCCTGAGCCCCGGGTAACTCTACAAGTAGGGGAGCAACCTGTGACCTTCCTAGTGGATACCGGAGCCCAACACTCAGTGCTGACACAGACACCAGGACCCATGAGCCACAAAACGACGTGGGTCCAAGGTGCCACTGGGAGTAAACCCTACCGGTGGACCACCATGAGAGAAGTACACCTTGCCACAGGTAAGGTTTCTCATTCGTTCCTACATGTGCCTGACTGTCCGTATCCACTGTTGGGAAGAGACTTATTGGCTAAATTGAGAGCCCAAATTTATTTTAAAGATGGGGGCGTCTCCATCACGGGGCCAAACCAGACTCCATTACATATATTGACTTTCAAATTGGAAGACGAATATAAACTTTTTGACAAGCCCTCGGTACCTATGAAAGACATGGACTATTGGCTTAGTTCCTATCCGGAGGCCTGGGCTGAAACCGGAGGAATGGGATTGGCAAAACAACGGCCCCCAATAGTCATTCATCTGAAGGCCGCTGCTACTCCCATTAATATCAAACAATATCCTATGTCAAGAGAGGCCTATCAGGGCATCAAGCCGCATATCAAACGCCTCCTAGACCAAGGCATCCTAACACCTTGCCAATCGCCCTGGAACACCCCACTACTACCAGTTAAAAAGCCGGGGACTAATGATTACAGACCAGTCCAAGACTTAAGGGAAGTTAACAAGAGGGTATGCGATATCCACCCCACAGTGCCAAATCCTTACAATCTCCTTAGCACTTTGCCTCCTACTCATACTTGGTATACTGTTCTGGATCTGAAAGATGCTTTTTTCTGCCTAAGACTGTCTCCCCAAAGTCAGGCTCTCTTCGCATTTGAATGGAAAGATCCAGAAGGGGGAATCTCTGGACAGCTGACCTGGACGAGACTGCCACAAGGATTTAAAAACAGCCCAACACTCTTTGATGAGGCTTTGCATCAGGATTTGGCAGACTTCCATGTAAGGCACCCTTCCCTAATCATGCTCCAATATGTAGATGACATCTTGCTGGGTGCGACCTCCGAGGAAGATTGCCAGGCAGGTACGGAGAAATTATTGCAAACTTTGGGGCTACTAGGGTATAGGGCGTCAGCAAAGAAGGCCCAAATCTGTCAGACAAAAGTTACCTATCTGGGCTATGAACTCCATGATGGTCAACGATGGTTGACAACTGCCAGAAAAGAGACTATCTCAAGTATACCAACCCCCCAGAGTCCCAAGCAACTGCGGGAATTCCTGGGGACCGCAGGTTTCTGTAGACTCTGGATTCCTGGGTTTGCTGAGATAGCAGCCCCCTTGTATCTACTAACTAAGCAAGGTAACTCCTTTGCTTGGACTAAGGAACATCAATTGGCATTTGATAACATCAAATTGGCTCTTCTGTCAGCCCCTGCTTTGGGCTTACCGGACATTACCAAGCCCTTTGATCTGTTTATAGATGAAAAACGGGGATATGCAAAAGGGGTTTTAACCCAAAAACTAGGGCCCTGGAGGCGACCTATAGCCTACCTGTCAAAGAAATTAGATCCAGTGGCAGCAGGATGGCCACCATGCCTCCGGATGATTGCAGCTGTGGCTCTGCTGATTAAGGATACCACTAAACTGACTTTGGGACAGCCATTAACCCTGTTAACCCCTCATGCCATCGAAACTGTGATTCGCCAGCCGCCTGATTGCTGGATGTCAAATGCCCGACTCACCCATTACCAGTCTTTGTTATTGGACACCGACCGAATTCAGTTTGGTCCCATGGTGACGCTGAATCCAGCGACCCTCCTGCCGCTCCCAGGAAAAGCCGATCCTCACAACTGTCAGCAGATTCTTGCAGAGACACAGGGAACCCGGCCGGACCTCACCGACCAACCGATGAAGGATGTGGAGCTGGTCTGGTACACAGATGGAAGCAGTTATCTGCTCAATGGAGAACGACGAGCAGGAGCAGCTGTCACCACCGAATCTGAGGTAATATGGGCGAGTGCACTTCCGGGCGGAACATCAGCTCAGCGGGCAGAACTGATAGCGCTGACTCAAGCGTTAAAGTTGGCAGAGGGGAAGAAACTAAACGTGTACACTGACAGTAGATATGCCTTTGCTACTGCTCACATACACGGAGAAATTTACAGACGCCGGGGTCTACTAAGCTCAGAAGGAAAAGAGATCAAAAATAAGGCTGAAATATTAGCCTTACTTAAAGCTTTATTCTTGCCTAAAAAGTTAAGTATCATGCATTGCCCCGGTCATCAAAAAGGTAATACTCCAGAGGCCAAAGGGAACAGATTAGCAGATGAAACGGCCAAGAAAGCAGCCCTAGGGCCACAGCTTTTGATAGTGACTCTATTGCCCCAACGAGTAGACCCACCACATGATGACCATGAAGAACACTGGGTCTATGAAGATAAAGATTTAGATGCCATACAAAAACTGGGGGCCACTTATGACCCCGAAAAAAATGTCTGGAAATATCAAGGAAAGACTATCATGCCCCTCAAAAATTCAAAACAATTAGTAAAGTCCCTACACAGACTAACACACCTTGGGGCTAAAAAGATGAAGGAGCTCTTAGAGCGTGGGGAAGGTACTTTATATCTTCCAAACAGGGATCAACTTCTGCGCCAAGAAGCAGAAAACTGTCAAGCATGTGCCCAGGTAAATGCTGGTAAGATCAAAATTGGAACAGGGATCCGGGTAAAAGGCCATAAGCCCGGAACCCATTGGGAAATAGACTTCACTGAAATTAAACCTGGTATGTATGGCTACAAATATCTTCTGGTTTTTGTTGACACTTTCTCTGGATGGACCGAGGCATTCCCAACTCGGCATGAGACTGCTAAGGTGGTTGCAAAGAAATTACTGGAAGAAATCTTTCCCAGGTATGGAGTACCCGGGACCATTGGGTCAGATAACGGGCCTGCCTTTGTCTCCCAGGTAAGTCAGATGGTGGCCAATACATTGGGGATTAATTGGAAATTACATTGTGCTTATAGACCCCAAAGTTCAGGACAGGTAGAAAGGATGAATAGAACCATCAAGGAGACTCTAACTAAATTAACACTTGAAACTGGCACTAGAGACTGGGTACAACTCCTACCTTTAGCTTTATACCGGGCCCGAAACACCCCAGGCCCACAGGGGCTAACCCCATTTGAGTTTGTACGGTGCACCACCATCTGCTGTTAACTTTTATGAAACTGAAACTTATGCCTCCCTCACCCCATCTATGCAGACTCATTTGCGTGCCTTGCAGTTGGTCCAGAACGAGGTTTGGAAGCCTCTAGCCGCAGCATACAAGGAGGAACTCAAAACCCCCTCGCTGCCACATCCCTTCAAAGTCGGAGACACCGTCTGGGTACGCAGGCACCAGAGCAAGAACCTCGAACCGCGGTGGAAAGGACCTTACACCATCCTGCTGACCACTCCCACTGCAATCAAAGTGGACGGCATCACCGCTTGGATCCACGCTTCCCACGTGAAAGCTGCACATCCGCAGGAGCCCACAGACGCCTCTCTGGATCCAGAATGGAAACTGCAACGCACCCAAAACCCGCTAAAGATAAGACTTACACGTTGTTAATCACTCTTGCTCTCTATGCTACTCCCCTCGTCCTAGGTAGTAATCCCCATACCCCCATGAAGTTGACTTGGCAGGTGTATTCCGAAACCGGAAAAATAATTTGGTCTATTACAGCAGCCCACATCCCTGGCACATGGTGGCCTATTTTGACCCCAGACTTTTGTCAACTAGCCGCTGAATCAGACTCTTGGGATATTCCCGGCAACTCACATGACCTCAGTACTTATTGTTCTACCCCCATAACGAGATGCAGACTGGGTCAACATGACTTTTACGTTTGTCCCAAAGAAGGGAGAAACCGAACCCAAGCACATAGATGTGGAAATTATAAAACATACTTTTGCTCCTCCTGGGGCTGTGAAACTACAGGGGACGCTCACTGGAAACCTTCTTCTGATAAGGAATTCATAACAATACTCAAAAACTTCACTCCCCATGGTACGCGCCCCTCTGATTGCTATCCCCCCCCCCTACATCTTACTACCAAGGGGACAAATCATTGCCCTTACGGATACAGTTTACAGAAAAAGGAAAAGAACAGCTAGATCCCTGGCTCACTGGGAGAACATGGGGCCTTAGATGGTTTATGAAAGGAGATGATCTCGGTGTAATTCTCAGAATCAAATTATCTCTAACCCCAATTTTGATGAGCCCAATAGGACCTAATCCTGTTCTTGGGGACCAAAGAGCTCCCTCAGTTCCCAGACAATCAAAAAGTCCGCCCAAAGTACCTCCCAGTGAGCCACCCATGTCTCAAATTGTAACCATAGACTGTCAAACCTCTAGTTACTCCCCCAAACCCACACTCCCTGAAACCGAAAACCGA